GCGGAGCCTCGCGCCTGCCGGGGCGGAGCGGGGTCCCCGGGGGATGTCACAGCGGCTCCTCGGAGCCCCCAGCCGCGTCGCCGCTGCAGCCACCGCCCGCGGGAGCCGCGACCATGAACCCCCAGTGCGCCCGCTGCGGGAAAGTCGTGTACCCCACGGAGAAAGTCAACTGCCTGGATAAGGTGAGCGGCCGCCGGCTGCACCTGCTCCGGGAAGTTTGGGCACGGGGAGGCGATGCGCAGGGCAGAGCGGTCTCTGCGCTCGGAGGTGGCGCGGGGGCAGAGGTGTCGCGGACCACGCTCGGCGACGGTGGCGTTGGAGCGGGGAAGGCTGCGGTCGGGATGTCGCGCCATCAGTACCTCCGATTTTTTTTTGAGGTGGGCGGCCCGGGGCACCGAGGGACCAGGCTGGGCACCCAGGGGTGCAGCTCGTCAAGCCGCGCCCCTCCCTCCTCGGCGCGGTCCCTGACCTCACCCCGCCCCAGGTCCCCTCACTTCACCCCGGCCCCAGCGCCTCCCGCGACGGCAGCTCGGGAGAAAAGCAAATAGTAATTAATATGTCATGGGGCCGCTGCTGCCGCATTGCTAAGAATAATCCCCACTCGAGAGACAGGCTCCACGCAGTGAGCCAGACCCACGGGTGGGGCATTCCAGAGGCAGTGGGTTTAGCTGGGGTGCCACCAGCTGTGACCTGTGCTCGTCCTGCGTGTGGATGGAATGAACAGCCTGCGAGCGAGACGCAGGCGCTCTGGCCCAGTGACTGACAATTAAAACCAGCCAGAGGCGTCCCCAGGAAATTGAGGCAACCCCAATGCCACCCTAGAGCAAGACGTCCTCCCAACCAGAGACTGCGTTCCTGCGATCTAGTGGAAACTGGACAGGGACGGAGGGCAAGGGGACTTACCTATTCTCTGCAGCCACGGCGGGTTGCCTGACTTCCGGTGCACACATATTTTTGGAGCTCTTCCAAACTCTGCGTTTACCCACTTTGAACTGGGATCCTTTTCCTTTGGAAGACACTCCCTGGGCCCCCTTTCTCTATTAACCTCGGAGTTCCTTCCTGGCTGCTCACAGAAGGGCAGTAGGGACAGAACCTTAGCAGTTGTTCCCTCCTGCGTCTGTAGCTGTGGTGCGGTTAACCTAAATTAAACTCCAGTTGAGCCTTATTTACTGCACCGAATGTGGGTAAACATGCCCCGCTGCCGGAAGTCATCTCTTTGTAGTATTTTCAAATATCGGGACTGTGGTGCACTAGAAAGTCTTCTTTTTGTACTCCTCCTGGCCAGAACTGGCATCATACTGCATTTTTCATTATCTTCTTTTTCAGTACTGGCATAAAGGATGTTTCCATTGTGAGGTTTGTAAGATGGCTCTCAACATGAACAACTACAAAGGCTATGAAAAGAAGCCCTATTGTAATGCGTAAGTATCGCCAGCCTGGCTCGCCAGCTGTGGCACAGCATGGAGCAGCAAGTCGGTGGCTCTGCCTGTTCTGAAGGCTTGACTCACTGTGCCACCCAGGTGTGCGGGTGGCCAATTACCTGTTTATGCCGTGGACTCCGGGGCCGTGGACTTTGCTGAAGGTCACTGCGCTGATGTCTTGCTAATGTGTAGGGTAATTTGCGTGCATCTTCCACCACATTTGTCTTTGAGGTTCACAGCCTGGCAGATTTAGGGACATTTATTAGGAGCTGCAGAACTTACCCCCTGAGAATGTGTGGGCTCTGACATGCATGTCAGGTAGATTTCCATTTTCATCCTGTGTCAATTTCCATTTTAATCATAGGATGTTACCAGCTTGCAGTGTTATATCTGAACCTAGTTGCTAGGGAAAAGAGTCTGGCGTGCTTGGTCTCAGCCGAGACCATGCCAGGCATCCTGGGGCTTAAACAGGGAGCCAGAGAATGAAGACATGATGATGTTCCCAGCCTGTTCGTAGTAGGTCTGTTGTAGTAGACCTGCTATAGTAGACTGGGTATTTCCAGCTGTCTCGTAGTAGGTGGGGATTAAAAAAGTCAGGCGTTGTCTCAAGGGTGTTCTGTAGGCACACTTCTAGCCGAAAACAGCAGTTAGCCGGCATTTGTATAGTGCTTGCTGTGGGGCAGGGCCTGTTCTGAGCATTTTATTCAGACTGACTCAAATGACTTGAATCTTTACAATAACCTGTGAATTAAGGGGCACTGTTGACAAGTAAATTGAGGCGCTGAAGACATAAACCACAGGCAGGGTCTCAGACCCCCATGCCTGCCAGAACTTCCGCCTGGCTACCATGCTGCCTTAGGGCCTAGTTTTCCTCCCCTTCTGTGAGTACTCCTGGCCATGCACTGCTTTTAGCTGTGTGCTCTTGGCCCTGATTCCTAAGCCTTCCTGTTCTTCCCAGCTTCCCTGTGGGGCTGGCCTGGCTCATGACTCCAGCCTTTCGGCTGGAATGTTGCCAGGGCTTTTGCCCAGAGTCTCTGAGACAGCTTCATCCGGGTCTCCTGGAGATGGTGGGCCTGGGTCTGTGTGTCATTGTGGACTGCAAAGTTTTGGTAACCAAATATAATGTGTTTCTGCCTTTCTGGTGAAGAGCTTTAAAAAAAGTTGTTTGTTGAAGAATTAAATTTTGCTTCTTCTATGTGTATTTTCTTCAGGGTTGGCTTAGGGCTTATAGGTAAACGAGAAACTTTTGAAGAAATCAGAGAATGGGCACTTGAAAGAATTCAGTACTTCCAGGATAAGTGAGGTCCAGAGCTATCTCCCAAACTTCTTGTTTACAATCCTAGACCATGTGTCTTCCTGGGAAGAGGTGGAGCAAAAATGAGGTTTCAGTGTCATGGTCTCCTGCTCTCTGTAGGGAGGAGTCTAAGAGACTGGTTAAAGATCAAAGGCAGGGGGCAGTAAGGAGAAGGGAAAGGGCCCTAAAAGCCATAAACGGAATAATTGTTCTTTGGTTAAAGGAAAGCCAGCCGCTCTTCCTGTGGTTGTTTCAGCCAGCAGCCCCATTCCATCAGGTTTTATGAGCTGCATCAGGATTCTTTACAGCTTCGACCAAAGCAGTAACAATGCCTTTGGGTGCTCCTGATAGTCCTGGAGGGCTTGGGAGGGAAAGAGGAAGAGAACGCAGGGAATGACTGTGGCAACACAGATGGCTAAATGGCTAGATCGACGAGAACTGACCGAGAGTGAAAAATGACCGAAAATGCAAAGGAGGCAGCTGAAGCGGAGTTCATGGCATTGGGCCACTTACAGCCAGCACTTGCTGATTAGTTTAAGTTCAGTTTGATTAAAAAAAAGAATCTCAGACTTGGCAGCAAGCTGTGGGCGAGTCCAGAAAGGCTGGTTTGCACTCTGACGTAATAGTGATGTAGCTGCCCAGAAATGTTTTGGTCACCAAACCAAACCAAACCAAAACTATTTATTAGTAGGAAATACCCTGCTGTGTGGTTTCATAGGGCTGAATCTTGTTAATACTTCAGGTAACTCTAAATCAAATGTTTACAGATTACCTCTTTAACATTTCTAATATGATTCCCATATTTTATTAAAGCAGTTTCAAGTCAGATTTTTAGGGTAGAATGCCAGTTTTTAGCTTAATATTGGATCTGGTAGTAGCTTTATTAAATAGATAAAAAAGGGAAGATAGGAATCCATTTATGGGGGTGGATGGGTAGAGTGAGCTGAGGCTTTATGTTTGTTTAATTTTGCTTTAAGTTCATGTTGTCGCCTGATGCGCTAACTCCGGAAATGAGGCCTGGGGAGTTGCCGGTTACCTCTGCTCTGAGGGCTTCTGGGTCAAAGGCATCTGTTGTTCTCATCCCATAATGTTCTAAGAGCACATGTTGCCATGTAAACTGGTGCATGTGGATTGCCCTCTGGGGACCCCGAGGCATCTGTCCCCATTCAGGTGCTGTGTGTCAATCACAGTTCCCTGTGGTTGGCTGCAAGGGCAACCACCATTTCTGTGGGTCAGCGGTGGAAAATTGCTTCTCTAATGCGGACGGCTCCCAGAAAATGAACTGTTTGCTCTCCATGTAAAGCAATATTTTACCTGTGTCTAGTTTGCTTCAACGGCGTATATATGTATACGTGAAAACAACTGTTCCTCTGCCACCCCCATTACTTTTTATTGTGAAAATTTCCATCCATACAGAATGAGTGAAAGAATAATACAGTCATCCCTCAGTATTTGAGGAAGGTCATTGCCAGGACCCCCACCCATACCAAAATCTGCAGATGCTCAAATTCTCTTGGTGTCCTATTTACACAGGACCTACCTAATCCTTCTACAGACCATAGATCACTTCTAGGTGACTCATAATGAATAATACAGTGTAAATACTGTGTGGGTAGTAGGGCTGCATGGCTCAGGGAACAATGGCAAATAAAAAGTCTGTGTATGTTTACTGCGGGTGGAATTTGCAAGAAACATTTTTGATCTACGATTAGTTGAATCTTGAACGTGGACCCCACAGATGAGGAGGGATAATGACAGGAACAGCTGTATGTCCTGTACTGAGATTCATATATTAACATTTTGTCATATTTGCTTCATATTTTAATATAACAGTAGTCGTAGGTACAATTCTTAAAACATTGTTGGGTTGTTTGTCAGTTTCGTAGATCATGACATTTCAAGCCTACATCAGTCACTGTGAATAAGGGCATTATCTTAAAGAGTCAGCCCTTATCTCACCTAAGGAAACTAACAAAAACATTTTTCTAGTGTCTGTATCCATGTTCACATTTCCCCATTGTCCTAAGAATAACTTTTACAGGTGAGTGTATGAAACTGGGATCTTGCCAAGGTTCAACCTTTACACTTTTTATGTGAAAATGACAACGTCCCATAGTTCTTGGAGATGCAGCATCGTTTGTTTAGCTTCTACTGTTGTCTCTCTTGGCTTCTGTAACCTCTCAGAGTTTTCAGGAAGAGGATTTAAATATCATTTCTTGTGAAAATATCATGCATAATTAAGAACCTTCAAAAGAAATATTAGGAATATGTTTAAAAATGTGAGACCATGCACACAGATATTTAGAATTATTTTTTAAAAATGTAGAGGGTTTTTATTTTAATTGACACCTGAGGGCATTTTTTAATGGAATAAAGCAGTGAGCACTTTGGTTTTGATGTGTTGCTTGTTTATATTCTCCAGTGTTTAGAGAAGAACCAAGTATTCTGTTTGATTTCCTATGCAGGAGAACATGTATAAAGTATAATTTATATGATATTTAAATTTTGATCTTTGGATAGAATGATCAAAGTATAGTACATATTAGATGTAAGATTGGGCATAATGCACGCTTAGTTCCTAACGCAGCAGTGCACACTATTAAAATATTTAAAAACAAACTGGTCTACTTGAGTACGTGCCATGTTTGCATAAGCTTTATGTTTCATAAGCAGGCAGTGGTTTCTTGAGCACATTCTGGATTGTTTTCATCTCAGAACTTGCAAAGCAAAGAGGGCTAAGCAATGTTCTTACTGCAGAGTGGTGCTGAGAAAATAACACTAGATGATTAGACAGAAAAACATAGCTCGTGTTTACACGTGAATTTATGTGCCAAGTCAAATGATAAACCTTTTGCTATGTGATACACCACACAAAGAACGAGTTGCTTAATTTATTATGTGTAGAAGTCAAAATTTGCATATACTTTGTGTGTGTGAAAAAATCAATTCTCAATAATTTCCTGGGAGATGACCATTTATAGCCATGCCAGTGACTGGCTGGTCATAGGCTGTCACTGAACATCCGATTATCTTGGGTCAGGGTAGGGACTGGGTCATAAGCATCAGTTTAATGTGACCGTGCCCATAATTTCCCCAAATCATCCCTTCTGCAGAAATGTTTGGGGCTGAACATTTGTCTGGACCTGTCCACATTTCATATCTCTTGAATCTCTGTCAAACGCATCTTTAAGGATAGGCCTAAAAGAACACAAATGTCAAAGGATGTTTAGTTATCCTTCCGAATAAGATTCTCTGTCACCCAAGAGTCTCACTTAACATGATTTTGGAAGACTTCTGAAAAATGAAGCAGCAGGCGCTGGGTGTTGCTGTTACTTTCCCTCCGGCTGTGTTAGCGCTGTCTCCTGAATATTCATGGCCCATCCGCAGCCCGGAGGATGCTGGGCTTTGGTCATTATGAGTCCCCAGCATGGTCAGCGCCACAGTGCACCTCAGCCGGCCGTCTGGAGGGTGATTATCTAGGCCAGCGCTCTGCTGGCTCTCACTTACCGTTTCTCTGTTGGTCCCTGCTCCTTAGTCCTCTTACTGAGGTCATCAGAGGACAAGGAAGGAAACAGTGAAATGCAAAACCGAGAGTCTCCGCACCATGTAGCTCTCTGATGTGTCTGGACCTCCCACATTTGGTTCTGTAAGACTCCCAGGACTTGTGTTATCTCCAGGGAACTTATGAAATTCCTCCTGTTTGGTTAGCTCTGGTTACCTAAGAACCTTCCACTAAGTGTGGCGTGTTGTCCTTAGGGAGTTGGAACTCATCGGAGCTGGATTGAATCTTTGCTTCATCCTCTTTTGCTGAGCAAGTCTCTGGATTGCTAAGCTTTGGTTTCTTCTTCTGTAAAATGGAACTATTAATGCCAGACTCATACAGCTGTGTGCAAATTAATGAGGCCACACATGGAAAGGGTGCAGTCCAGGGCCTGGTGTGTGGGAGACCCTTAATGGGCAATAGTGCTCGTTTCCACGTTTCTGCGTTTGCACAGTAGCACTTTTTTTTTGAGGGGTAGGTTGCTGAATTGCCCAGCCTTGGCTCAAATTTGCAATCCTCCCTCCTCAGCTTCCCAGAGTGCTAGGATTACAGGCATGCGTCACTATGACCAGTCTATACCGAAAGAGTTATACTGAAGTTTTTCACACTGTGGATTGCTACCCAATAGAGATGTGTGACCAGAATTTAAGAAAAGGAAGAAAAATAGCAAGAGGAGAGAAAATATCAAAGTGCATTTGAGTAGTCAAATAGCTTTTTTTT